CTGCCCCATAAATACCAATGCACTGCACACAATAAATGAACTCCTCCACACTTGGAGCTGTGTTCTATTTTACTAGCTATGAAATGGCTATAACGAGGAGAAATGCTATCGGAAGACCGGCATTGGAGAACCCGGTATCGAGAAAATTACTCGCGGTGAAACCAACAGGCATCCACAACTATCCGTCCAGAATGTGAAAACAGTTAGTCAATTAGCCTTTCATTTCAGAACTATCACTTCCCCCTTCCTACAAGTCCTTTTCGCATGCTTTCAAACGAAAACACCCAACTTTCTTATTATTCCGTATTAATAAATAATTTAAGAGGTCCCCTACATCTAGTGCTTTCCGTTGGGGTAACATCAAGGAAACCGGATCTACATGCAGTCTTATAAAGAGTTAAAAGGGAACGTTACTGATCGTGAATGACCACCCTTCCAGAGTCCCTATTGGGCTTTTGACTTCCACTAAGATAAGAGCTAAAATCTAGTGCTTCTCAAATGTATGGTTCACCGGATGAATCGTGGGTTAAATCAAGTCTAAGGCACGATTATTCAAGATGATTTGATTCAATGGCAATTTTACAGAGATTCAATCAATGGAGCACAAATTCGACGACCGTGAACACTGACCTGGTTTATGATCATGCATCGACTAGCCTTGTGCACAATAGTCTGATTCCAGCGAGGGGGTTCCCATCCGCCGACACACTGATCTCCTGGAATGCGTCGATAACCTAAATCGAACGTCCGATCCCGTTCGTGTTCGGGTAAAGCACACGGATCTAGTGGTGGTATGTGTGGATTTCGTATGCATTCCAATGAGCCCAGTTGACGATAGAATCCATACTCGCTGGTGAGCGTGAGTGAAGGAAGGCGGATGGTGTTTGTGTATGAATTGTAATTCATTAACGAATGGGGAAGACAACAAAGTTATAAGACCAAGTTAAATCCTAGAATATAGGCAAACTAAGTAACTTGAATGTACAGACTAGTCCTGAACTAAGAGAATTCGGTTTGTGAATAGTTCACCTCTAATGAGAAATTGAATATGGCTCAAGCAACAACGAAGAATGGTAATGCTTTTCATTTTCGCTTTATATAGTCGCATAAGTATCATCACCAGCACATAGTTATCTGTGCGTGAAGGGATGAGCATAAGTTGAAAACTATCGGCACGAAAAACAGATAATTCCGATGTTATAAATCCGCTAACTACGTGACCCGAAATTGAACGATATGTATGAAATAAATGTGGTCGTTTATTTGAACTAGTGCTGATCAGTATAGGAAACTTATTCAAAATACATGGCGGGACGAATCTAACTGCTATTAAGACGGGGGTTTGGGTGGCGATGGATGTAGACATTCATCGTTATTAAGAATGGGTTTTCTGTTTAAAGGCAAGGATGTCAATTCACATGAAACAGTTTACTGCGTAAAATAGCAATTCGAATAAGCGCAAATGATTACCNTAGTAAAAAATAAACCACGTGATTAAACGTTCACATCAATGGGAGTTTATCTGTTAGTTGAAGTGGCTCGATCAAACAACTTTATACTCGGTACACTTCCTATCAGAAAACATGGAAAGGTGCATGCCGGTCTCGAGTGCAAAAAGTAGTTCCAGTAAAAAAAGAAACAAATGTCATTGATGAATGATAGCATACCGTCAATCGAATCTGTTCAATGAGAACGAAACGGGCCTAATCTATACTTTCCTCCCAGTTCAACAACCTACACAAATGCATTGATACGTCGCTAGTAAATGCATACTGGATCCCATCGAAAACAAGCCGACTGGGAAGGATCAAACAAATTTTCACAGAAATACAACGAGAACATCCAAAAATTCATATTTATTGGTTATAGAATCAGTGCTAACTGATCAATTACAATTTACATTTTGTTCATTTCACCTTCGACCATAAGGCCTATTCCTACTAATAGCGACAACGGTGAATATGATGGCGCTAGTGTCATCATCATGTGCGATAAGATGGACAGTTTGGATGAACGAACGGGATGAGCGAAGGAGAGATGAAAATGCAAAATGAGTGAATGAATGGGATAAAGAACAGGAGGGATTAATATCAGAGATGGCTGCCGTGGTGAACCAGGATATTTTAACTAACGGATACAAACAATTCGTTTGATGTCATACAATCACCAAATGAACGACCGACTTTTGGTGTTGTTTATTTACACGAATTAGGATATTGAGGCTGACAATCATAAAGTTAAAAGTAATGAACCCTGTGTTCACTTCGAGCAGCTTACACTAACACCTGTGTGTGCACGTGCGTAACTAAAGGCCGAATAGAATTACACATTCTGTGTCACAGTGTAAATGCGTGTATGTAGCAAAGCATAGTGACAGCTCCAATCACAATGGTATGTATGTATGTATGTATGTATGTATGTATGTATGTATGTATGTATGTATGTATGTATATAATTCCATAAGCAACTTTAGAGCAGACATTATGATTCAACCAGAAAGCGTTCAACTGTCTACCTGTATTAGTTCAAACAATTTGTGCACGTGATGGAGTGGACGAGAAAAAAGTAGGCACCACACAGATACTCATGCAAGCAATTTGAGTTAACAGGTAGTTAGCTGCCACAATTGGAAAACCAAGTCGTGCTCTTTCACAAGTGCGACAAATCTCCTCCATCCGTGGCTGTGGTAAACAATGGTTAATGGACCAGTGTGGTAGTTATCCATGCTGTACATATTAACCTAAATATGTGGCGATTGTAGTCTGGATCATTTAAATGGACGAAAATTGCATTCATTGAGAAGCAATGAGTACACAATCTTTCACCACCAAAATAGGTTCGTACTACGAAACAAATTCGAGAACAAGACCAACTTCCATAAGAATGTATGACACCAATATCCCAATTCCGGTGGATGGATGCCCGATCTCGTCGGCAAAGATCTGTAGGCTAGTTGAGAAGCTTCCTATGATGATGACCGAAGGAAAAGATTTTGAATGTTGATCCGGTAATGGAATAACGAATGGACAAACATTCAGAAAAGGAAAGCAATAAGTTATCAAATTGATGAAAAAATAGAAGTAAATCAAACTAATTTCATCAAACTAGAGGCTATTAACTGATCACTTTTCACTGATCTAAAGTCGATGAAGGAGAGCGGAAATGAAACATATCACGAATGTTAGCAAAGAGTTACCTTCGCAAACCTGAGTTACAACTGCTATCACTCCTAGGAATTTTTCCGGAATAAAGGTTTAATTATCTCAAACAGCTCGAATAGGAGGTACTTACTTTGATCAACTTTTCCTAAGAAGTAATATACTGACTAGAAGAAGGCAACTTGGTGATGTGTTGTACTGACACGACTTCAGTAAACATCTAGACCAATATTTTAGTAAAAAGGAATATTCAACCTCGGTGCATCGGAACGTAAGAGTATATATAGAAACTGAGTAACCTTTAAACAGAATAAAAAACTCAAGAAACAGTTTCACATTTGAAAGTTTGCGCACCATTCCCTGATTGTTTTGTTTCTCACGGGCTCCATATGAAGCAAATAAGAGATAACAATGTTTCGGGATGCATTTATTCAAGCAGGGATTTTGCGAGAACCAGATTCGGTACTTTTTATGACATTATTCTGTAATGAACAACAGGAGTGAAAACCCCACAGTCAAGAGGACCTGTTGTTTGGTCATGGAAACCGGCAACCGGGGCCAGGGACTTGAAGTAGTGAACCACATAGGGTCCCGTTGGATTTCGTGTGATATTGAGACAGACGGCATCAAAACTCCCAACCAGTATGAGTGAGATCGCCAATCACAGAGGTGTGTAACTGCCGACAATTTACATAGCAAACGATTTGTAAGCACTAATGCGAAGACCAAACATTTCATGAGTTGAAACTTGGATAGGGATGGCGGATACACGACTGATTGTTACCAAATGATTAACTGTTTATGCCATATGGAGACAAGTACTGGGTTCGCTAAGTGGGGAATCGCACACACACACACACACACACACACACACACACACACACACACACACACNGCGTTGGTTAAACGAATAGAGTTAGACTTTAGAGGCGCAAGGGATAGACTCATTCAGTTTGGACTGTGTAGCTTACATTTAATCGGTTTGTTCAGCACGGTGTGATTAAATAATCAGGCCGAGATCAATAATGTCTGCGTGATCAGGTTACAGCAGATTACCATCAAGTACAGAGTAATGTTGTGATTTGAATGAGCGGAATAAGAAACTTAGTCTGTGCCTATCCTACTGATGATTATCTATCAAACGATATCTAGGATAAACGTTGCATTTGAAATAATACCAATGACAATAATGATTCTCACCGAACTCAGTTACTTGTGAGCAGTGATGCGAGATTTGACTGACCATTCTGCAGACTTCATCTGCACTTCCTGCCTGCCAACCATACACTCGGGAAGTATCAAGCTTAAGTTTTGCTTCTATTACAGCTCATCAGTAGGCCATTTTCAACTATCCGTCCGGGATTTGAATCTCATACCTGAAATGTTATGCTCAAACCGTTGGTTGTTCTTATGACTCAGGATACAATGATCTATCGTTCTATCATGGGACTCAAAGAATTGGTGTGGCGTAGACCTTAAAGAATGTACGCCGAAAGAAGGGGAGAAGCCAAGAATATCGCTTTGGCATTCGGTTTCAGTTGACTGACAGCCTGTAAAATTACTCAATCCATCCCATCTTCCTAGCTCATGAATTACACAGCATGACAGTACCCGGACATTTACATTCAACGCTATTACTCTAATACTCCACCAGTTTCAGCTCTTCAAATTTGAACATTTTTTAATGCTTTACACCAATGACAGTCTGATAATGTTGTCTATGCATTCAATACTACGGTTCGTTATAAACTCTCAAGAACTACTTACATTTATTACTCGTTTCTCCACAGTTAACTATCAACTTCGCTATCTACTATTTGAGTTGCTACCATCCTTGATCACTAATGTGGGATACACTATACGGTTTTCACCCTTAATCACTACCGCTTATCGGTGACCAGTTGATACCAGTGCTGCGTCAGGACAGGTGAATGTATTATTCAAACTAATAGGTCAACAATTTACAATCAAAGTGACCTGCTGAATTTAGTTAGGGTAAAACAAATGGGCCAATTCAGTTGATATTAATGAGCCTGACGAAACTTCAGCGGAATTACAAAACATTGAACTGCTACCATTTGAATCAATCTTAGATGAGTGAACTAATGTGCATGGAAGAACACGCGCGGCACCAATGATGAAACAGTTGTTGGTAATACTAAACCTAAATGCATGCTCTAACTTCCTATGGTCCAAGCTAGAAGAGGATGCTATAGCTACCTATGGCTTAACCAACCCGTAGAGCAGGATCAAAAAAGGAACTCTGCACTAAACATTGTGAAAACGGTGGGATCAAATGTATTTTTTTTCTAACAGACGATTTTTAATGATTTTAGGATGATAGTGATCACTTTGCTGAACCAAAAGGACAAATTCAAAATTATTTCACAAAGCGCATACATAAACAAAGCAGGCACAATTCCACATTTGTACTTTTGGTTAATAATGCAGTTGTGAATAGAACATTTTAAGCTATTTCCGTTAAATTCCTAAATAAGTAACTGCTACTGTAAATAATGATCTCATTGCTAAGCTACTAAGTACCGTTTCGGGGAAAGTATTTTTAAACAAATTGCTTGTTTGTTAGCTCTTCTTCACAGAAACGATCAATAAAATAAGGGGGGGGGGACGGATTTGTTTGAACAAAAGACGCTTGAGACCGGGCCAAGATTGCGCGTGTTTGCAACAGCTTCCAGAAACCAAACCTTGGTGATTAGAAAAGGTGTACCTACACAGAAATATACTCGT